GTACATCAAAAGGAGTTGCCAGAAATTCAAGCTGGATTCAGAAGAGAACATGGAAAGAGGGATATCATTGCTGTTGTCAGATGGATCTTGGCTGAAAGCAGAGAATACCAGAAAGATGTTTACCTGTGTTTTATTGACTTTGCAAAGGCATTCAACTGTGTGGATCATATCAAACTATGCAAGAATGGGAATTCCAGAGCACTTGATTGTGCTCATGAGGAACTTGTTCATAGATCAAGAGGCAGCCATTTGAGCAGAACAAAAGAATACTGAATGGTTTAAAATCAGGAAAGGAGTGTGTCAGAGTTGAATCCTTTTACCATAGTTACTCAGTCTGCATGCTGAGCAAATAATCTGAGAAGCTGGACTATATGAAGAAGAACTTGGCATCAGGATTGGAGGAAGGTTCAGTGACCACCTGTGAAATGCAAAGACAACTTGAAGCACTTTGTGATGATTATCAGACTAAAGCCTTCAGCATGGATTGCACCTCAGTGTAAAGAAAACAAAAATCTCACAAGTGGACCAATAAATATTATCATGATAAATGGAGAAAAGACTGAAGTTGTCAAGGATTTAATTTTACTTGGATCCACAATCATTGCTCATGGAAGCAACAGTCAAGAAATGAAACTATGTACTGCTTTTGGCAAATTTGAGGCAAATGACCTCTTTAAAATGTTAATGAGCCATATATTTTCAATTGCCACCTATGCATGTAAGAGATCTGGTGGTGCTGTAGGATAAAAGCATAGGGCTGCTGGCTGCAAAGTCAGCAGTTCAAACACATCAGCAGCTCTTCAGGAGAAAGATGAAGCTGTCTGCTCCTGTAAAGATTGGAAACCCAATATAGTGCTGCCTTGAGTCAGAATCAACTCAATGGCAGTGGGTTTTTGAGTCACATGCATGTTAAAGCTAGACAATTTTCAAGAAAGACTGGAAAAGAATTAATGTATTTGAATTAATGGTGTTTGCAAAGGATATTCAAAGTACCATGGACTGCCAAAAGAACAAACAAATCTGTCTTGGAAGAAGAACAGCCATGATACCCATTAGAAGTGAAAAGAGAGACTTAATCTCACATATTTTGGGCATGTTATCAGGAGAGACCAATCCCTGGAAAAGGACATCATGGTTGCTTAAATAGAGGGCCAGCTAAAAGAGGAAGAGCCCAACAATATTGATTGACACAGTGACTACAAAAATGGACTCAAATATAAGAACAATTGTGAGGGTGGTATTGAATTGGGGAACATTTTGTACTGTTGAACATAAAGTTGCTATGAGTCTGAACTAACTCAAAGACACCTAACAGCAACAATTACTCACTACCAAAGCATTCTGACTTGGATGGTACACTATCCGCCACACTACTTACAATGTGCTTTCAGATCTACAAGGGTGACTGTAGTTATTGCACTCCTTTTACTGGACCATCCCTAAGGATGGTTCATAGTACAGGTTGGCATTTCCTCACTGAAGAAATCCATCAATGGTTCCACAGATTCCAGGGAGAACAATCCCAGACCAAGGAAGGTAATGCAGGAGTTTGTTCTTTTATTAAATTTTGGGCAGGACTTCAAGGCTCATCTCTCCAGAACATAGAGAATTGGAAAGAGGAGAAACTCCCCTAAAAATGCTATTTTTGGATAACAAGCTCATGACTCTGATACCAATTATAATTCTGAAATTGCATGTACCTGTTGCTTGTGTGTAGTCCTGATGTGGCGCTGTGGGTTAATGTACTGCACTGCAAGATCAGTTTGAACTGAAAGGTCAGTGGTTCAAGCTTAGCAGCTGCTCCTCAGAAACCCTATACAGAGTCACTATGAGTCGGAACCAACTCATTTGCACTTAACAATAGCAACACTGCTTTTTTGAAGTCCCCATGTGGCACTATAAGATAAGCACTGAACTGCTAACCACAAACTTGGTGGTTCAAAACCACCAGCTGCTCCTTAGAAACCCTATGAAGGGTTGCTATGAGTGGGAACTAACTTTGTAGCACTTAACAAGAATAACATTGCTTATTCAGTACAGAAATGATCAGATGTTCTCATGGTTTCTTCTCCTACCAATTATTTGAGTCAGTTGAGTATGGCCTAATCTGAAAGAAACACTGGTTGGGTGATTGTAGATATTCCAATTTGGAAGATCCTGCTTATTAAATGAAGGACCTGGTAAACAAAGAAATGTTTCCAATGGTAGAAAGCAAGAAAAACCTAGAGGAATACTTCATTTCTGGATCAGAAAATGTTTGACTTTATTCCTGACAAGAGTTCATTCAGCAACCTAGAACTTTAAATAAAGTCTGTGAGGGCCTTACTATCTATGCCAGGCTGGGAGATATAGCAGCTGCAGTTAGGGACAGCTTGAGACAAGGGGTGACCAGCAAGCCTTCCAGGGCTGGCTCCTTCCTAATTAACTACCATGGGCAGAAGTAGGTTATAGTACTTCCTTCTCAGAGAATGCTTTAGACCCCAGAAAGTAGAAAGTTATACACAGACATACCCACACAGCACAAACACACATATATAATCATACAGAAATGTATACCCAAGATCTGGTGCCAACTTTGCAATCCAAACCAACCTTCCGGTCGAGTGCTTATCCTACAGTGCCATAGCCAAGATCTGAGATCACCCAGTGAATATATAGCCATACCACAGAGATATTGTGGGTTCAGTTCCAGACCACCACAATAAAGCGAGTATACAATAGAGCAAGTCACACAAATGTTTAGGTTTTCCAGTACATATATATATATGGTTACACTATCCTGAAGTCTACTAACTGGGCAACAGCATTATGAGAAAGTTTAAAATATTGTGAGAATTATCAAAATGCGACACAGAGACATGAAGTGAGTACATGCTGCATGTTGGAAAACAGGTGCTGATAGACTTGTTGGAGAAGGAGCTGCCACAAACCTTCAATTTGTAAAGATCACAGTATCTGTGAGGTATAATAAAATGAAGTACAAAAAGAAAGAGGTATGCCTGCAATCTAATTCATTTATGAGGACTAGGAGGCAAAACCCTGCCCTCAGCTACTTTTGGTGGGAGAAACCCAATGAACAGGTAACAAAAAAAAAAAACTACCAGAGTAGAAGGTGGTGTTCTCTCTCCTTCCTTGCTCTTTCCAGTTGCTGAGAACGCCAACCTTTTAGATGCTTCAAGTCCATTCGAATTCAAATCCACAATCCCCAAGGGGCAGTGCTGCTTGCTTGGGGGCAGGGCAGGAACTTGGGGGAGAAAATAGTGCCTTCATTTTAAACCCATGTCTTGCTCCCCTACCTAAACCTGTCCTATCTGAGGGCCTTGAAGAGTTTCTTCTCTCCTAGAACGTTGGTTTTCTGGGCTGCTTCAGCGTCCAGGAAAAGGGTGATGGTCCTACCCTAACCCAGGCAGCAGTTCTATAGAGTGTTGGCTTCTCTGTCCTCAAAATGTCTGCAGCAGGAGCACAGGACAGGATGGGAACTGGGTGATGAATTGGGAGTGGTTTACTTTAGGGACAGCGCTCAGAGGCCTAAGGCACACTGAAGATTGTTGTTGTCGTTTAGTGCCGTGGAGTCAGTTCCGACCCATAGCGACCCTGAATAGGGTTTCTAAGGAGCGACTGGTGAGCTTGAACTGCCGACCTATGGGCTCAAATTAACTTTGCAGTCCAGCGCATTAACCTACTTGCGCCACACTGAAGACAAGCAGCCCAGAAAAAACCTCCAGCTGAGGCACCCACTGTTGAGAGCTTTTGGAATTGGAGTAGGGTGTTCTTTTGTACAACAGGGAAGATTGGGGAAAGCGGAGGGGAAAAGCTGTTGGAGGAAGGAGTTAACATTTATTGTCTAGTATATAATCACCAGGAACCCTGTGACACAATGGTTAAAGCACTTGGTATTTACGTAACCGCTACGATACCAGAGCTCCTTAGGAGTAGGAGTAGCTATCATATTATCTACTTCTGAAAAATCTGTCACTGATTTTTGGGGGACACTAGGGCACAGTTCTCCTCTGACACATAGCGATTGTTTTAAAAATCACATGCTGGGCCACTGATGCAACTTTGCTGGTCCAATATGATCTCATCTTATTTCCACAACATTCTGTGGATTATTCCCCTTTCAGATGAGAAACATTTTAAGTGTCTTGGTCAAGGCCCCAGCTAGTAAGTGGACTAGTGAGTCCTTCCTGTGGGGTGTAGCTAGATCTCTGCTTTGTCTTATTTTGGAGCCCATGTCGCGACCTTACCATGAAGACATGCAAGTTTGAGACCTCTCTTTCTCCAAGGGCACGAGTTTATCATGGTTCTGACCTCTCAGCTCACGTCTGCACCTACCCATCTGGCTGACAGGAAATCTCTGAGAAGTCCCTTGCACGTGCAAGACGTTTCCGCAGAGGCGGTGGCGGAGTACACAGTGGGGCAGTAGCTCAGGCCCTCCAGGCACGCCCCTAGTCGGCGTCTCCCGCGGTCGCCCGCGCCGTCCGGGCTGCCCCGGGTCTTTGGGGGGTGGGGGGAGGGCAAGGCCACGGGGCTTCGCGCCATGACATCAGCCTTGGTGTGGTGCAGTGTGCAAAGCCCACTGGTTGGCGTGGCGCGGGACACGCCTTCCCCTGAACAGAACAAAACTGCGCCGAGGCTGGCTAGCCCAGCCGCTGCTTCAGAGACCACCTTCTGCCCTCGCGCTGCTCAAACCCGCTGCCAGGTGAGCGCTCCCACCCCAACCTACCCCACTCCCCCAGTCCTCCTGGGCTGCAGGCGCCCTGGCCCAAATGTGACCCGGCTCGGCCAACTTGACTGCTTGCCGTAGGGGCGTCTGGCTACGACTGGATCACCTCCTGGTCTTTCCCTCGCCGCCGCGGCCCTGGCGGCTGCGAAGGAAGTTGCGAGAAACGTGGCGTGGGCCGAGGAGTTGTGACAAGTGGCCGCTGTGAGCCCGGACGACGATCCTCTTTCCAGGAGTCGCTGGGTCCCTCCTCACCCTAGGGCTTCCCGCGCTCCCCTGACCCATAGCGGCCCGCTCCCCCCGCGCCGCCTGCAGGTCCCGCAGCAGAACAATCAGCGATTCTGCGCGCCACTGACTCTTTGTATGGCAGGGAGATGAGGGCATCCGTGCCACCCCCTCCCGCACTCTCCTGCTCGGGAAGAAAATGCCCGCGGGTGGGGTGAGGGAAACATCTGGCTTTGTGATCCAGGCCTTGGGGAACTGTGTCGCTGAGCGCAGGTGTGAGTTTTCAGACTTTTGGAAGAACCTTTCCCCACCCCAAGTCTTGGTGCTAAATAAGTACAATTATAGAAAACTGAAAAGCCACAATGAATGTTTTGTAGCCTGAGTCCTTGAGCACTGCAGTTTGAGGAACCGAGAATGGAGGCCTTTATTGGGCATGTTTAAAACACCTGGTGTGGTGCTGTAGGATAAGCAGGAGACTGCTAAACTCAAGCTCCAAGGTTCAAACCTACAAGCAGCTCCTTGGAACCAACTCCATGGTACTTAACAACAGCAACAAAGCACGCTTGCAATATACCCAACAAGTAGGGACCTCTGGTGGTGTATGTGATTATGAGCTGGGCTGCTAACCGAAAGGCCAGCAGTTTGAATCCATCAGTTGCTTTCTGCTCTGTAAAGATTTACAGCCTTAGAAACTGAATAAAAGGTGGCTATGAGTCTGGAGCCGACTCTATAGCACACAACCAACCCCCAACTAGCATTTCTGTGAGGATTTTATCACCTCTCACAAACCTGAGAATATTCTATCTGTTCCTGGTTCTTATACTGTTGTCATCAGGAACTGCGCCTGTGCTAGGAGCAATAACATGGCCTTAGACCCTTCCCCAGAGCCACTTACCTATTGGGGCAAATGAATAGGTAGGCCCTCCCCATTCCTAGGGCCCTCATTTAAGATTCTGCTACAGTGGTACCAAGAAATCTACTACTGGGCTTTGGGAGAAAGTGTATCATGAAGACACATCCTGGAATCTTGGTGAGAGATTGTTTGGAAGGTTGAGAGACTGAGGTTTGACTCTTGGGTTTGCCTCTTGCTATGTGGGTGAACTTGGACAAGTTAGTTAACCTCTCAATGACTCACTTTCAGGGATTGCATTATCAAGAGCCTCAAACATAACAGTAGTCAATACTGTCTTCCTCCTTGTCCCCAGCCCCACCTCTGTCCTTCCCAGAGGTTGAGGAGGTCTCAGGTGCCATTTCTCTCTGTCATCTTTGGGTGTATATTGGGGATTTTCAGCCCGTAGGATTTGAGGAGAAGGGTGCTGAGCTTCTTTTGTTCTTATTCAGCTGCTGCTTCCTGGTTCACAGTTTCAGTCGGGGGTGAGGGAGGGGAGGGGGTGGCAGCCAGAGGCCCCAGACTGCTGAGAGAGACTCTCTTCAACCCACATCCACTTGCATGCAGCATTTAATCCATCCTTGCCAGAGCCTAGCCTCCCTCCTGCTCAATCTCCCCGTGAATGACCCTTTGCCTCTGAGAGGATATCCAGGGTGGAGGGCAGTCAGACAGAGAAGGAAGTTTATCCTACAGAGGGTGTGGTGTGGGCCAGAGGAAGGGGAGGGAGAGAACTCTTCTCCAGATGCCCAATCTAGAGAGGTGTGGGGAGGATACAGGAGAAAAACTGAAGAGCAGGCCCACTCACTCTTTGTTTTGGCTGCCAATAAGATGTGAAAAACCTGATTGCTTTTTTGTTTCTGGTCTGTCATAGCACCCACTGTAATTATTGGCCTTGGTATTTTGTATTTTAATTATAAATAGCTATCTGGGGAGCCAGTGAGTTGAGGAACCACAGTTGCCACTTGGGAATGGAATATTTGACTCTTGGTTGGTGACCAGTAACTATTTGGTGAATGAATAAAATAGGAATGGACTCGTCACTGTGCTGTCCAATGGGATACTCATTTGTCTTAACTGAAATCTTGAGCCCTGATGGCACTATGGGTTAGGCATTGAGCTGTTAACTGAAAAGTTACTGGTACAAATCCACCAGCTGCACCATGAGAGAAAGATGAGGCTGTCTGTTTCCATAAAGATTTATAGTGTCGGAAACCCTATATATATAGGGTCACTGAGAATTGGAATCAACTCAATGTCAGTAGGTTTTGGTTATTGAAACCTTACAAATATTTACTAGCCATTTTATTTTCCATGTGAGTGGTGTTGAGGAGTAAGTACAAAAAGACATAGCTTTTATTCATAGATCTCCAGGTGGGAAGGCTTTGGTAGTAGGTTGCTAAGGTTCTAACAGTTTCTGCAAGTCTAGCTTATTGGGAGAACTTGGCCTTCTAAAGGACTGTGAAGAGACATGCATTAAATATTTTGAGGCCCAAGGAGGTGCTCATGAGAACAAAGGGATTTTCAGAAGTAGGGGGCAATACCTAAAGAGACACACATTGTTCAATGAGTGTTCAGTGAGTTGAAACTACACTAAGGAGTCCTGGTGTGATGCTGTGAGTTAATGCGCCAGACTGTACAGCCATTTGAACTGCAAGGTCAGTGGTTCAAGCTCACCAGCTGCTCCTTGGAAACGTTATACAGAGTCTCTATGAATCAGAACAGACTCGACAGTACTGAACAACAAGCAGATATCAGCACTTGCTGTGTGCCAGGCACTTGCTAAATGCATCCTGTGTATTATCTTGAACAATCTGCGAAGTAGATACTGTTGCTTCCCATTTTGCAGATGAAGAAACTGAGGCTTGGAGGTGATAAGTAATTTGCCTGGGATCACAGTTGATCCGTTGTGGAGTTGCTTTTTAAACAGTCTACTTCCAAACCCTACACTCCTAGGTTATGTTTTTTTCTTTGCCTCCTCTACATTTCCCTTTTTCCAGATCAACTCATTAAGGATGTATCTAGCATTTGTGAAGCACATTAGCTCACCAAGTGCTTCACAGGGGTTTTATAAGCTATTTGGTGGAGTCAAGGTTAGAACTCAAAACTTCTACGTTTTTACTTTGCTATGTGGCCAAGGATTGGGAGAGAGCTCCTTTGAAGTTAGTTCCCAAATCCTAGTGAGTATATTTTCACCAGGTCTGACTGATGCATGTTTGAATTTCAGGGTCAGATTTATAAAACAGCAAAGAAGCCTGGAAGAAAGGGGGCGAAAAAAGGCAGCAGAACTGCTATAGGGGGAGCTGGAGGGGTGGGGGTCCCCGGGTTCTTACAGGAGCTGCTTTGCCTGCTGTCTCCAGTTGTCAGGAATTTATATGGGAATGACCTGGTTTTACCACGCAGCTGCCTAGGAATTTGTCTGACGTCAGTTTTGAGTAATTCCCATGTATGGTAAAGTGTGTAAATACTGAGACAACTAGCACTTCCAGACTTGCAGGGGTCAGAGGCTGCGTCTGGCTCCTCAATGGTGACATGGAAGGAAGAAAGGGAAGGTTGATGGCCAGCAGATGTAGTGCCAGGCCAGGAGACCCTTCCCTTCCTGACTAACTGACATACATTATACAGGGGTGTGCGAGGTGGGGCTTACTGAGATATCAGCTATAAACGACCCATGTTTATAATAACTATAAGTACTAATTTGCTTTCATGAAAAAAATTAAAGAAAAATCATTCTGATCTTTTTGAGCATGGCTTTTCACACTAAGCTGATCAGTTGAGGGGTTGCTTTTTCCAGACAAAAGCAAAGAAACTTGATCTGCTGATTAGTCTGAAACCTTATTATAATGCAGGATTTCCATAGTTGTTTTGAAGTACTTAAAAGGACTCATAGACCCCCTTTCTACATTTGCTGACCTTCAGATTTGTGAACTACAAGGGTGGGGAGCCCTTGAAAACATTAGGGGTTAATTGAGAAAGGAAAGACTCAGCACTGCCCTTGTGAGTTCAGTCTTCTAGGAGCCATGGGACATGGATGTAAAGAGAGAGGTTTCATGGCACAGAGAGACAGAGCTGAGCTAGAATGATGGGGCCCTGGTTGCTCAGTGGTTAAATGTTTGCCTGCTTACCAGTGAACTGCGCCACAGATGAAAAATGTAGCTGTCTGTTTCCATAAAGATTTACAGCCTTGGGAACCCTATGGGGTAGTTCTACTCTGCCTTTCAGAGTCACTGTAAGTCTGAATTCACAGCAACATTCTCTTTTTTTCAAAAACATTTTATGTGATGTAGAGGGATCCTTGCTTAATGATGCCCATTAATGACTCAGAGAGGGACTCAAAAGCAGGGTTCGAAGAAAGAGTGAGGCTTGGGGGGGGGGGCAGAACACATGAAGCTGAGGCTGAACTTGCACCACCTGCATATCAGCTTCTAAGTCAGCTCTGCTTTTCCCCACCCCACAGTGCCATCCCCCATCCCAACCCCACATTGACCACTGCATTCACATTCCAAGGTGGTGTATTTCCTGAGCTCTCAAGTATCCCTTTAGGACATGGGCTTAGAACCTTGAACAGCAGGACCTTCCTCCTTTCTTATCTCTCATTGGCTGCCGCTTGATATGGGGGTGTAAAGGAAAAGGTTAAGTTGCTGGGTTGGAAAGGATGACAATTCTCCTGTGTACCTGGCCAGATACCATACAGCTCAGGTAATGTGAGCAGTACATTTCTAACTAAACAAACACTTGACAGGTTTCTACTGGACCGAGTGGGTGGGAACTGAGTCCTGTGCCCAAAAGTTGCTTGTTGGTCCCAGGGAACAAGAGATTTTGAATTAGAAGAAAATGGATTTTTCCACTGGAGAAACAAAGATGTGGCGTGGTGTGTCAAGGGTTTGATGAGATCTCCTTCAGGTACTAGTCGAGATTATATACCACTGAGGTGGGTCTTTAAACTTGAAACATGATCACACAAAACCTATCCCCTCAGTCTAACTTGCACTGGATTTAGAGCAAGCATAAGTATCTGTGCGTTATATCTGCTCCTCTTTCTGCAGCTGCAAGAGCCACCATCTTGGATTTTTCCTCTCAAGATTGAGGATCAGGATATAGCTATTAATGGAACAACTGGGCCAAGAGGGCTGGATGGCCAACTGAGGAGAGCTAGTTGCTTGTCAGATGAGTCCAATCCCTAGCTCCTAGCCTCTAGCCAGCCTGGAGGTTCCTGGCATTTCAAGTAACAACTGACTTGATATGTTCAGCTATTCAGCAGAAAACTTGGACTCTATTCTCCTTTGAGTATCAACAGAGTGATAGGGGACAAACTAGAAGACAGAGAGCAATCCCTAAAAGGAATGCCACTCTGAAGGCAGTTCACTGCAAATCCAGTAGGTAGATG